AAAAAGTACAAAGTACTATGATGAATAGGGTTGATCAGGAGAAAGCAGAGTTTATTAGCAGAGGAACACATGGGACAGATTCCCTTCCTGGTAGGGAAAAATATCTGCTGGGTAGTGAGCTGGGATCTTGGAGGCTTCTAACAGATTCCCTTCCTGGTAGGGAAAAATATCTGCTGGGTAGTGAGCTGGGATCTTTTAAGGAGGAGGCTTCTGCTTCCTGTAGAAGGCAAGAAGATGTATTTTTTTTTTTTAAGTTGGGGGGTGGAGTGAGAGAGTGGGAGAGCTGGACTGTTAAAACCTGTTCTCTTCAGAGATCAAAGGGGAAGCCTGCTGTGTTGGCCAAACAGTGGAAAAAAGTCTGCTTTTCTTGACTTCAAAGACCAGGACACTTATCAACTTGGGTCCCTTTTCTCAAGAGCATGAGAAGTCCTTGAGACCCTGTTGGTGAAGGGGCACGGCTATCTGAACCTTAACAATAGCCAGTGTTCTTAACCTCTGAGCCATCTCTCCGGTCCCCCAAAATATTTTATTATTTTTATTTCATGTGTATGAGTGTGTTGTCTGCATGTACATAAGTGCACCAGTGTTCTACAGTGCCCAGAGAGGGCAGAAGAGGGCATCAGATCCCCTGGAACTGGAGTTAAGAATGGTTGTTAGCCACCATGTGGGTGCTGAGACTCGAACCCAGGCCCTCTGCAAAAGCACTCAGTGCTCTTAATGGCTGAGTCATCTTTCCATCCTCTCTAAGCCTTTTTACTCATAAAAGAAGGTGTGTGTGTGTGTGTGTGTGTGTGTGTGTGTGTGTGTGGAGGGAGACAGAATTATTCTATGGCAAGAAGTGATACCATTTCCACAACAGCTAGCAAGTGCCAGGTGTATAGTGGGTGGTCACTCTAGATCTTACCATTTCCCCTAAGTACCTTATTCACCCAACTTTGGGATTTCTATTTAACCTCCCTTGGCATCTGATTGATGATTTCTCTGATTATCCCAAGTGCAGCTTAAGTGAGTCTGCTATTTTCTGTGTTTGTACAAAGTCTTAAAGTGCTTCACTGTAATTGTTCAGATGTCCGGCTCATCTTTAGTAATAAAAGCCAAATAAAGTGTGTTCTGTACTTACCAGGCAACACACTTACGTATAAAAAGGGCCTTAAAAAATAGAAACTATGATTCCAAATTTATAGTTAAGCAAACCGAAGCAAAGAAAAGATTAAGTAACTTACTTATGGCTAGAAAACCAGTGAAGATGCAGAACAAGATGCCACACAGCCAGCCAATTTATGATCTAGTAGCTTCCTATTGCCCCAAACTTATTTAAAAAAAATAACACTTGGGGGCTGGAGAGATGGCTCAGTGGTTAAGAGCACTGACTGCTCTTGTAGAGGACTGGGGTTTGATTCCCAGCACCCACATGGCAGCTACAAACCATCCTTAACTCCAGTTCCAGGGGAACCTGAAGCCCTCTCCTGACATCTGCAGCATTGCACAACACAGGTGCACACACATACATGTAGGTAATACACTCATACACATAAAATAAAAATAATAAAATATTTTTTAAAAAATAAAATAACACTTATTTACAGCATTTCTTTACATGAGTCTACAATTAACCATGCAAAAATGGAGTGACTTAATTGAACAAATAGATAACAATGTGATAACTGGAACCAGTTTTGCTTGCTTAATTTTTGTGATCCGTAATTACATTTAATAAAAAACCTGTAAGTTGGAATAACATAGAGGCTGAACTTTACCTACTAATTATAATGATAGGATGCCGATGATTTTTTATTGAGCTTTTAAAATTTCATACATTTCCACTCAAATCCAAGCCCCACCTCCCCACTCCATGCCTTCTCCTATACTGCCACAGAACCCCATGCACTCTGCCATACATGTGGAGTCCTATTCATTCATGTGTTTGTACCCAAATGTCCTTCAGTGTAAATGTGTCTACTGGAGTCTAGTCAGCCCATCCAGTGGTCTTATGTAAGTCATACTCTCCCTCACCCAGCAGCAACTGGTCTCAAATAGTTCTCAGTCTAGTGCTGGCCTGCCACCTATTTCCCACCTCCCCTTTGGGCCCTTGTTTACTTGAGCTGACATGGGTCCCATGCTCGATGCCACCACTGCCATAGGCTCTCATGAGCAAGCCTCACCAATGTGATCATTATTGTATGAGAAAAAAGAAGCAATCTAAGAATTTGGTTGAGGGGGTTGGAAAGATGACTCAGCAGTTAAGAGTACTTGCCACGCCTGCAGAGGACAGATGTTCCATTCCCAGCACCCACATTGGACAGCTCACAGCAGCCTGTAACTCCAGCTCCAGGATATCTGACATATTCTTCTGGCCTCTACAGGCACCTGCCCACATAGGCACATGCACACAAACATATGCATAAATAAAAAAGAACTTGGTTGATAAAAGCGAGTAGAGAGTTGAACCAATTACTAAATTACTCATCTAACATGATCTTATACAACATCACAGAAATGTATGTGAATGACCCTCAGTATGCTTACCAATATTAATCTATATCCAACACCCTTGAGCTTTTCTTTCTTTTTGGGGAGAGGCAACAGGGTAGCCCCTGTACAGAAGTACTGTCCTCCTATAAAATACTGTTACCAAACTCAGAGAGAAAGGGTGCAAAAGAAAAAAAACCCAGTCTACCTACCCCATAAACTCCGCCCCCCCCCCTCTCTGGATTAGTTCCATTCTTGTTCAAGACCAGTGACTGAAAATGCTGATTGAATCATTGTCTGTGGAACATAGCTCCACCTTGACCTTCCTCCATCTCCAGCTTTCTTCAAAGGGAGAATGCCCTTTCAAGTGTGCTCGATTTGGGGGTGGAGGTAAACCAAGGGCTTCCTACAGATGCTAGGAATGCGTTTTACCACTGAGGTATACTTTCAGACCAAATATCCTTTTCTATTTTGAGAAAGTGTTGTGCCCAGAGAACAGATCCCCAAGAATTACCCAGAGTCCAGAGAGCATGCAAGAACAAAGTCTTTATTCCGGCTCAAGCTCGGACTCTCAGACCAAAGCCACGTGGTGGGTCCAATCTGAGAGCCCCATCACAGGGGAAAGAAGCTTTTTATAGGTTTTAGACAAAGGGAGGAGGGGAATAACAGGGTCACATCTTGATTGGTCCAAGGAGCCCACGGGGGGAGGGTGATGCAGTCTTGGAGGCTTTCTATTGGTGGGTTCTGTCTCCAGGGCTGTGGAATGTGCTGACTGCTATCCTTGGGGCCAGAGGATCTTGTTTATTCCTTATAAGGTCTTAACATGCCTGGGCTTTTCTGACATGCCCCAGCTTGCCTAATCTATTTACAAAATGGAGAAGTCAGCCACAATGGAGTCAGTGCAGTTTGTCTCTTTAGTTCTTTTGAGCCAAGCAAATTACAGAAGCTAAAAGAGTAATTACTCCTAAAAGGGCAGGGGTCTAGGGGCACAGGGGAGAGGGCCAAGGAGGAGGGTTCCATATATCCCCCTCTCCTTGTCACTTAGAGGTCCCAATCAAGGGGCTCCCTGGAGTTCAATGGCATCCCAACTTAGGGGCTGGTATTGTGATCTCATGACCATTACTTGGATTGCCCCCAATCGTTCTTTCATAAACTG